TATACTGTCCCAGAAAGAGGCTGGAAAAATCAAGTTTTCAATCATTAGCCTAAAGTCCACTCTGATGCTGACAGATAATGTTATTATCTTTGACTTGAAGACTTTGCATTCTCTATTTCTAATTACCTTGGAAAATGAGGAATTGGATATACTTAGGTTAGAGCTGGGGAGTTGCCAGAAAACATAGAAAAGTTTGTCTCATGTCAGGTTGGTCAGGGTCTTAAATGTCAAGCTAAAGACTTTGGACTTTATCTGCTAGGCATTGTGGAACCTGTGGGGTTTCTGTGTAGGGAAGGACCAAATAAAACATATCTGAGTGGGGGAATATGGCAATAATTTGCAACTTCTGGACTAATGGTAGCTGTAGAGAGGGCTAAAGGGTATAACCTCAGGGAATTTGTACATTTAAAAATAAAGGATTTGGGCCGGGTGTGGTGGTTCACTCCTGTAATCCCAGCACTTTGGGAGGCTGAGGCGGGCAGATCACTTGAGGTCAGTAGTTCAAGACCAGTCTGGCCAATGTGGCGAAACCCTGTGTCTACTAAAAGTACAAAATTAGCCAGGTGCGGTGGTGCATGCCTGTAATCCCAGCTACTCGGGAGGCAGAGGCAGGGGAATCCCTTGAACCTGGGAGGCGGAGGTTGTAGTGAGCGAGATCACGCCACTGCACTCTAGCCTGGGTGACAGAGGGAGATTTTGTCTCAAAATAATAATAATAAAGGAATGAATGAAGGCAATGGAAATTATCCAGACATGGATCTTGAAGTGGGAGATACTCTAATATGATGTAAAGTAGTCAAGTGAAATGATGACAGAAGGGGTCAGATTTGTCCATTAAAAATCAAATCACCGGTGACTTTGGAGAGAGCAGGATCAGGAAGGTGGGTGGCCTGAGATCCATTTTGGAGGAGTTGCAGAAAGAATGAAATAGGGAGAACAGGAAGCCGGCAAGCATAGGTGACTTGTGTAGCTCGTCCCCTGATATCCTCTGTATTCGTTTGCTAAAGTTACTGTAATAAAGTACCACAAACTGGCTTAAAATGTACTACAAACTGACTTAAATGACAGAAATTGGCTGTCTCACAATTCTGGAGGCTGGAAGTTCCAGATCAAGGTGTCATGAGAGTTGTGTGAGAACTGTGAGGAAGAATCTGTTCCATGCCTCTCCCCTGGCTTCTGGTGGTGGTTTGCCAGCAATCTTTGTCATTCCTTGGCTTGTAGAAGAATCACCCTGTTCTCTGCCTTGATCTTCACTTGGCTTTCTTTGTGTATGTGTCTAATTTTCTCTTTTTATAAGAATACCAATCACATTGAATTAGGGCCCTGACCTCATCTTAACTAATTATATCTGCAATGACCCTATTTCCTAATAAGGTGATATTTGACGTACTGGGAGTTAAGACTTCAACATCTGGCTGGGTGTGGTGGCTTACACTTGTAATCCCAGCACTTTGGAAGGCCAAGGCCGGAGGACTGCTTGAGCCCAAGAGTTAGGGACCAGTCTGGGCAACATAGTATCAAACTGTCTCTAAAAAAATACAGAAAACAGGCCTGTGAGGTGGCTCATGCCTGTAATCCCAGCATTTTGGGAGGCTGAGGCAGGCAGATCACCAGATCAGGAGATTGAGACCATCCTAGCTAACACGGTGAAACCCCGTCCTACTAAAAATATTTTTAAAATTAGCCGGGCGTGGTGGCGGGTGCCTGTCGTCCCAGCTACTTGGGAGGCTGAAGCAGGAGAATGGCATGAACCCAGGAGGCTGAGCTTGCAGT